TTTGTAAAATGAAGGATCACAGGCCGAATATGTGCTCAGGATAACTCCTCTGAAGCTAATGGACTTATTATGGTCCCTCATTTCAGACCTAAGCTCAGCAAACCTGGTCTCAGGGGGAAAAAATCTTTCCAGGGATGAAATTCATTCTGTTGTGTGCAACACGTTTTGCATGGAGATAAAGTTCCCTCTTTGTGGCTTCTGCAGGGCCTGGTCCCCTTGCTGTCCCCAGGCACTGCTGGGCATGCAGCCCACAGCCCAGATCCAGCTCTGCTGCAGTGATGAAAAGTCTGTGTCCCAACTGTGCTGATCCAGGGACATCAGATGATGTTTTCCAGCTTGTTCTGGTGAAAATATCGCAATCCACGGGTCAGGGCATTGGAAAATACCTACTTGCCTTATGCTGTTAGTATTTAGAGAATTTGCTCTCCAGCATCCTCCAGCTGGCTTAGGCACAACTGTCTCACCAGATCAGCATTAGGCTGGGAGAAGATCCTCCCTGACAGGACCAAGGAACCAGGAAGAGTGGACCAGCAGCTGTATTGCTGATAGGATGCCACCACCTGCAGCTTGAAACCTCCCTACCTTATGCTCCTCCTGCACAACCTTCCCCTGCACCCATATACGGGTGCCAGCTTGGATGTGTGAACATGGCTACTGAGATTGAAATGAGAAAGCAGGAAGCCCAGGGGCTGGCTGAGTTCGGGATCTCATGGCCCAAGCAGAGATAAAGGGGATGTTTTCCCCGAGGAGCTTATTGAGACTGTGGCCATATCATAGGCTGTTGCAAACAAATATGTTTTGAGAGGCTGAGATAGAGATTGCTCCTGATTCCTGCTGGGAATCCTCAGAACAGAGTGTAAAATCAGTACAACATCCTACGTCCCTCCAGAGAGAGGAGTGATATGGACACCTGGTCCCACTGAAGGGTTTGCAGGGCTCTGGTTTGCAGTTTTGAGGTCTGTCTTCAATTAAAGAAGAGCAGCTGAGCTGGGATAGTTCCCAAGTCTTGGGGAGGACTTCCCTTCCCTGGAAAGAAAATGCAGGAAGTTTTTGATGTGGGGAAGAGCTTTCACTGAGGCCTTGGCCAACACCAAATTCTTCTGCTGTGCCTGTGGGGTGGAGCAACGCCACACTCCATTCTTGTGGCTACCAAGGGTGTGGACACAAGCCTCACAGAGCTGTCCGACAGAAGTCAAGGAACAGGTGGATAAAGGAGAGGGGCACAACCCAGACCTTCTCATAGGAAAGCTGTCCTTTTCTTTACAGTCAAAGCTGCACTGTCAAAGGGGTCGTTCTGGACACGGGGGACTGGCAGCACGGTGGCTGATGGAAGTGCACTCTCACTGGGTAATCCAAGAACTCTAATGATCTGCCTTTGATCTCCTATTCAACAGGGAGATTTATTACAGCTTTCATTTCAAGTCAGAACTGATGAATTTCAGTGGACTTGTCGAGTGGCTACAATCTGGAGGCATTTATCTTTCAGGAGGAAGAAACCATCTCCTCTCTCTGTCTCTTAAAATGATGGAGGGGAGACACGGTGCCCAGCCAGCGAGCCTCAAATGATGTCTGCAGCGTGACAGCAAAGTTTGCCTTGCTCAGGGCAGGCTCTCTGCTCCAGCTGTGGACCAGCAGCTGCTTCAGGGGTTTTTCTGCTCTGACACAAAGTTAATCTGCTGATTACATGTTGCTCTCCCTCTCCCCTGCTTCTGCAGACAGCCCAAAGGGACTTAGATCCGACATCACAGGCTCCCAGGGCCATTTCCCTGCAGCTGAGGATCCTCTGGATCTGAAAGATGCCTCTGCTTCTCCAGCAGAATGTGACCTGGAAACCTGGTGTCCAAAACTGTCTTTTATGTTTTAGATTGTGCAAAGGACCTCAGTTGCATGTAAACGATTTTCTGCAGTTTAATCAGAATCTACACATTTTGCTTCTGGGTGCTCATAGGTCCTGGGGGGACCCCATTCCAGACTTTTCTTGTAGGTGCAGTTTACCTGTCCCATCTAACTCTATTTTCTCTCAACACCCCCCTGCTGATGCAGGTCTGCAGCTGCAGACCCCTTAGAGGAGTTCCAGGATGGCATGTGCCACCCTGCAGCAGGGGAAAAGCTGGGGCTCTTTGCTGAGTAATGCCAAATTTACCATTCCTAAGGGCCACAGAAGGAGGCCCTTAGGAATTTAGCAGCAAAGGCTCATTTAGCAGTAAAGACCATAGGCACAATTTGCAGCCTCTTCTCAAGCAGCTCCTGGGCAAATCTTGATGGTGTTGCTGCTGGTCTCTCTCCACACCATGCAGCTGCAATGGCAGGAGTGTGTTTCTGTTACATGTTGGCACTGGTTTGGGATTTGCACTGAGAGATGCAGTCCAACTACATCTGCAGCTATTTCTCCCAGTCTCCAGAACTGGTGCCATTGCTTTGGTTCATCCTCTGCCGCCTCCTGTCCCCATCCATCCCTTTGGGAAAGAGGCTTTCCCCTGCTCAGAGGCTGTACCTTCTTGAAGCTCTGTCTCAGTGCAGCAATGAGTGTCCCAGGAGCACCACGCAGGTGAACTCAGCATCCATGTAGCTCCTGTCTCAGCCTACTCTTCCAACCCTGGAACTGTAACTCAGGGGCACATGGCAGAGTTATAGCCTACCCGGAATGCTGGTGCTGCAGCACATCACTGTCAGAATGGCAAGAGGACACATTGAAACATGCAGATCTGTTGGTTATTACTGTGTGCCCACCTGCTTACAAGGACTTAGGATACTCTGTTATCAGAGACCTGTGGAGAGTGGGACAGGAGACTGTCATTCAGTTAACAGGTGATGCTGCACACTCAAACCCCAGAACACAAACATCATTACCAGAACTCTGTTAAAACTAACCTTGTTTTTTCAGTGAGCTGTGGATTTTGACAGAATTGTTTACTGGAGAGATGCAAGGCTAGGTGTGTGTGAAGGTAGTGTCATTCCACATGCTGTTTGCTTTATGTAATTTCTTGCTTTGAGGCTGCTTAGCAAGGTCTAAATTCTTCAACAGAAATGCTGATACAGTGCATGAATGGTAAAACTTGCCATGTGGGATGAATACTCCCTTTTCAGGAATTTCGATTTAAAAGTCTGATTGGACTGAATTAATACCAATCATTTCTAAGTTATAATGATGTTAGCTGTTACCATGAAAATTAGAAATTTGTATACCTGGAAAAATATTTGCAAATCGATACACTAAGAGCCACATTTATCACTATGTGCCTAATGTTTTAGTTCGTGGACAGGAAGATTCATATTTGTAAGATACTGTGGCTCCTTAGAAAATTCAGTAGATCCCTCCTTGGAAATATTTCAGGTGGATATGAATGTAACACAGTGTTAAGCCACAGCAATTAATGCCACTCATAAATCAGGCATTCCTGTGCTCACTTGAAGGCAAACCCTGTGTGTTATCTGCAGAAGCTATTAGAGAATTAGATATAATTAGCTCATGACTCTCTACTGTAAAGGCAGGCAGAATTGTGCTGGCTTCACCTGTTCACTTGCTTTTTACCTCACAGCTTTGATAAAGTAATTTTATTGTGAATCTTTTGCCATGAAGACACACGTGACAGCATTTTGGTTAGTTACAGCTATTTAGTGATTCAAACATAGTTATTCTTCCTTGCCACTTATAAATTGGAGTTGATATTAAAACAGTTTAAATTGATGGACCACAAGTACAGTAAACATTTGCTCATTCCTTTAGAATAATCTGAAACCATGACTTTGTAACTGTTTAGTCCCACATGTCAGTCTTACACACTGACTGACCTAACTGAGCTACATGTGCAAAACTCGTGGCAGTATTATATAGGTCCTTGATGTTTTATTCCTAAATATTTATATCTCATTACCTTTAATAGTCCAAAATCTACTGTACAGACAGTCTTGAAAAGCTGTCTTACCATCTTGGAACTGAACAGGTTTAAAGTACAATTTGGCAAGATATACACTGTTGTCATTTTTCTGAGTAAAGCTGCACCTGAATAAACCCTGGCAAACTTACACCAGAAAAGTCCTGACTGTGAACAAGTATTTTCAATAATATTTGCACTTACCATGAGCTATTCTCAAAAATAAATAATATATAATCATTTAATGCATCATAAATGCATTTGCCACACCTTTATAATCTCTCCAGTAAACCCATGTCGCTGCTGTTTAAGTTACAAATCAGTTGGTTGCCTGCATATTGTTCATTGATGCTTAACTGTTGTATGATAAATTTTCAACAGCTTTCTTGTAATGATGGAGTCAAAGTTAGTTAAATTCTTTTGTTTCTGAAACTTTTAAAGGAACACTCTCAACTCTAACTTTAGTTTTGTTAAATTTAAGTGATGTTAATTTTCAGTTCTGTTATGTTTCAGTGATGTTGAGGTTCATATCTCTTAAGTGTTGTGAAATTCAAGTGATGTTAAGTTTTAAGTTCTGTTAAATTTAAGTGATGTTAGGTTTATGTTCTGTAAATTTAAAGTTCTTTAAATTCATTTAAGTTCTGCCAAGTTTAGGTTCTGTTAAATTTAAGTTCTGTTAAGGTTAAGTTCTGTTAAGTTTAGTTTCTGTCAAGTTTAAGTGAAGTGTTGTTCAGTTTAAGTCCATTATTTTAAGCTCTGTTAAGTTTAAATTCTATTAAGATTAATTTCTGTTCAGTTTCAGTAATGTTAACTTTAAATTTTGTTAGGGGTACTTTTTGTTATGTTTGGGTGATGTTAAGTTTAAGATCTGTTGAAATGTGCTCATTTAAATTACAAGATACAGTTATTTTGTTATAGGACAAGATGGAACTGACTGAAACAATTATGATGAAGAATTTGGCAAGCAACTGTTTAAGAATATAAGATACTAGGTTGTGCAAAAATATGTGAGGATGCAGTTTATTAGATCCTTAATTTCAAAGAAAATTCTATGGGTTTAAACATTCTACATTGATCAATTAACGTAATTATTCATAACAATCTTTGCTGTTTTATCTTCCATAGGTAACACAGAGGAATGAGTAACAATTCCAAATTATGGCTGCTATTAATTGTAAGCCGTTTAGAACTTTGTTTCTTACTTTTATTTTGCTTTATTTTCATATATGCATACATGTGTGGAAAAACACACTCTCAACTTCTTAGGATGGTTACTGTTGATGTATTAATGATTCTGAATATGTTGTGGACGTCACAGTGTGAATTCACTGACTTTTCATAATGGGCATTATCCATAGGATATTATTTGAGGTTGGCACATGCATTGCTTTGGTTGTTTGGACTATGTTTGTGATACCATTGACTGCTTAGCTAAGGATGAATGACAATGCCAGCTGCTTTACAAACTTTCCCGTACCGTTGGTAGCTATCTGAAGGACATGTATAATTTTAAGGAACTTTCCTAACTGCTATTACTAAAGGCTTGTTCATAGGATATGTTAGGGAAAGCCTTCCAGTTAAGGCCTTCACCCTGGCCAAGCCCCAGCCCTAGCTGGTTGGAAGTATGCCAACAGACCCAGGTATTTTCTGCATGAAAACTGTACTCAGGTCACTTTGACTTGCCAATTTGGGCTTATAAAAGCTGGACCCCCTTTTGAGGTAAACCTAGAAACTTTTCCCAGGAATGGTTCTCTGGGTCCTCACTGTGAATCAGGGTTTGCCATCTATTGCAGACTCTCAGTGATGGTACAGTATTTAGGCAATTGATGATGCATCATTCTAAATAACAATGCTTTTTCTTGTGTGCTAATTATTACATGTATTACCTTGCTTATTTTTGCTTGGTGTGAGTTTATTGCTTTGCCTCATGCATTGCTTTACTTTTATGTTGCCTTCGTGTTCATAGTGAGAGACGCGCATGTTGAAAAAACAAAGAAGGGGGAATATGGCTCCTCAAGAACATTTAGATAATGCAATACTTATACAAGAATTTCTGAAAGCAGATCATCAATTTTGATCCCCGACAGAGTGTTACTGCTCTGAAGATTTGCAGATACAGAACCTGTGGAGGCCAGAAATCTGGCCAAGCAAAAGCCTGCTGAGCTTCCCTGGAGGACCAACCCCTAAACCCCAACCCCTTTGGTATGGTGAGCAAAAAGAGCGTCCCGCTGCGCTCCTTGGTTTTTATGCCGATTCCTTGTTTCCCATTGGCCCTTCCACCTTGCTCCACCCCTGTGCCCTCATCCCATTGGCCATGGTGTTCTGTCCCACCCCTCGAGATCCCTATATAAACCGTTGCTGTCGGTGCCTGAGTGGCTCTTTTGTTCTTCCATGGCTTTGAGGAGGAAGCTCAATAAAGGGTCTCCTTGGAACACCACACTGTGACCCTGTCTCTCCTTCTGGATTGACTGGATCGTAGAAAAGCTGAAATCACCTGGTGTGAGCACAGACATGCCTGTGCCCCCCAGGTGTCTTTATCAAGACACTTCTTCGGGAAGGTTGCGACACTCTGAACAATGCTGGCCATGACAGAACCGGTTTCTAGAAGTTTTACATAAGGATCTACAACTGGATGTGCAATGGCAAGGCCGAGCTGATTTACTAACCTAGGGGAGGACATAGGCATGTGTTTTTATTGCAAACAGGTCTAAAGTGGTTACCTGCTTGTCTGGACAAACATTGATAGCCTCTGAGGAGATGAGGCCCAGTGAGAGGAGAAATGACCTAATCACAGCCCAGCCCTGGTGCCAATGCAGGAGCAGGGGTAGGACTGCCAGGACATGGCCTTGTCTGGAAGCTCATGAAGGCAGCCTGCTTGTGTTGCACTGCACTCTCTGTCACTTTATTGTGTTCCTGCTGACCTTCTTCAGTTATTCCCTGTTCCATGCTTCCAGAAGGACATTCAGTAATGTCAAAGACAGCATTTCTATCTAATGGACTTCCTCCTACCTAAACAGCACGGCCTCTGAGCTCCAGCCATATGAACTTTGGAAGAGGAGCCATTTCTTTCCACTTCCTGGGGACATTGGACACCATCTTTCTGTTTTCCTCTGCTGTGAGTGTCTGTGCCAGTGGCATGGTTATATTTGATGGGTTTTTTATTGATTGTGATCTGTGTTCCTTGTATCTTATCCTGTGTCCAGCAGATGACCAGTAATAGTCTTAATAAGATTATGGCCTTACAGGTGCAGACTGTTTTGGCATTAGGGTACATGAAACCTTAGCATAAAAAACAAAGGGGGAGATGTTGCATATTGGTAAAACTTTACAAAATAAGGGCCTTGTTATCCTTTTAAAAATACGCTCAGGCCTATTACTTTGACTAAGTAGAAAAGGACTATGGGAAAGTGACTCAGATGAATTAGAGGTAGAAAAATAAGTTGTATAACTACTACATGTTCACATTGTGGTTTATGGTGATTAGTTGAATAACATTTGTTGTGCTTAAATGGAATGTAACTGATAAAGGCCTAACTGCTTAAAAAGTCCAGGTTTTGCAATAAAGAGTTCTCTCTTGCACCTGCCTGGGGAGTCTGCATCACTCTGCTTTGTAACTGTGGACCTCTTAAACTCATGAACAGGCAGGTCCTGGGTCACAGGGCACAGCCAGGGAACACTTTTAAAAGTTAAGGAACAAGTCTTCAAAGTCCTTCTTGTGTTACCTTTACTGTCCCTTTTCCTGGCCACAGATCCATCAGAACCTTTCTTCTCCAGAAAAAGCCCTGGGAAAGGAAGAAGTTGAGGATCAAGGAGCAACCCCAGCTGGTGTTCAGGAGTGCAGGTGCATCGCTGCATTCTGAGTGTTTTATAACTTCTTCCCAAGCCCTGCTCCCCAAAATCAGATTATGAAACCTTTGACTCAAATTAATGCAAACAAACAGATTGTGCAGAGAGCCGTAAAAATAAAGTATCATAATAAAAACCCTAAATTGAGAGCATCTTCTGTAAACAGAGCACTGTAAACACAGTGATTTGTCTCTCTGCAATGATATTTGGTGAGGTATGAAAGAGCCCCAAGAGATGGCAGGAAAACACAGCTGTTCTCTCCTTGCAGGAGGTGAGGAAGGAGAGGACGGATGGGAATGCAGCACAGCTCCGATGGCTCCAGGGTCAGCACAGGCTCCACTGCACTCCCGGAATGGGAAGAGGGATCCTCCAGGATGGGTCAGATTGGAGGATCTACAGTGGGTCACTAGTGCCAAGATGGGTCAGATTGCAGGGACTACAGTGGGTCACTGGTGCCAGGATGGGTCAGATTGGAGGATCTACAGTGGGTCACTGGTGCCCCCTCCCTGCTTCAGCAGGGCCATCCCAGAGCACAGGGCATAGGATTATGTTCACACAGCTCTGGAATTCCCCAGGGAGGAGACTCCACAGCCTCTCCGGGCTCTACTCAGGGCTGGGCACTGCACAGAGAAGAAGTTGTGCCTCCTGTGCAGGGAGAATTGCTGGGCTCAGGCCCTGCCCGTGGCTCTGGTGCCATGGCTGGGCTCCTGGAGCAGAGCCTGGGCCCTGTTCTGCCCCTCCCTGCACACAGGGACACCCAGGGCTGAGGGCCCCTCTCAGCTGGGGCTCCTCTCCAGCCTGAGCAGCCCCAGCTCCCTCAGCCTTTCCTGGTCACCCAGATGCTCCAGGCCCTCCTCATCCTCACAGCCTGAGCTGGCCCTGCTCCAGGAGCTCCTGTCCCTGCTGTGCTGAGGATCCAGAGCTGGACACAGCACCCCAGAGGTACCTCCCAGGGCTGGGCAGAGCGGCAGGATCACTGGCTGACCTGCTGGGAATGCTCTTCCTGATGGTCCCAGGATCCCATTGGCTCTTTGTACCCAGGTCGCTCTGCTGGGCAGACACCTTGTTGTCCCTGGGTCCTTCTCCACAGAGCTGCTCCAGCAGGTCCCCCCCAGCCTGGGGTGGTTGTTTCTCCCCAGGTGCAGGACCTGTATTTCCCTGTTCTCTACTTCCAGACAGCTCTTCTCTGCCCATCATCATATTAAGGTCCTCAGTTCCCCGTGTTTTCCTTCCATTTTGCTCTGGCTCATTCCTCTTTCCACAATCTGATGCAGAGTGTTTAAACCAACACTGGGCCCTGATTCCCAGCTCTCTGGAGTCAGCACCTTTTCCTGGTGCCACGGAATTATTTGCATTATTTGCAGATTTGGATGAATGTCTGAGTGACTTCTATGTGGAAAAAGGGATTTTGGTGATTACTGAATTCCCAGGCAGGGAATCTTCCGGAGATAAGAAGCTGAAATGGTGCCAAACATCCTGGGAAGGCTTGTTCTGCACAGGGAACACAACATTTCAACATTTGTAAGGAATATGAATAGCATTTCCATGGAAGGAGATGAGGTGGAGCAACTGGAAATTTCTCTCTGGAAAAGGATGGAAGAGGTTGACAGCTGAAAGACAATGTCAGTCCAGGGAGTCTCCTGCATCTTCCACTGCTCATCCCCGGTTACAAATTGCCATTTAGAGCAGAGGGAAGCATCCACTTCCAGCACTCCTGAGTGGACTTTCAAATCCAGGATTTTGACAATTGAACCTTCAAAAGTTGGGATTGGGTCAATTCATTGAGAGCTTCTCCCTGAGCAGAATTCCGACTATAAAAAATGTTCACTTTTCCTGGTCTGTTATTACTATTCCTGCTCTTGAACTTCCCTGGAAAAGCAGTTTTCCACCTAGGAAGGTGTCTTAGGTTAGAAGATGTAGCTGAGGGTGTCCATTCTATCACCATCTGTTAGAGATGGGGCAGTTCTCTGCTGTTCATGGGGCAGTTTTCTTGATCTCTCCCACAGCCAATCCTCCCTCCAGGAGATCTCTGCTGTCCATGGCCAGTGAGTGTCCCTGCATGGCTGATCCAATTCCAGCATCCCATGGGGAGATGCTCCACCCAGGGTAGGAGCCAAGCATTCCTCCCTGGATCCAGTCTGAGATTTGGGACACCAGGGCAGCCTTTGCCCCCTGCATTGCCAGAGGAGCAGCTTTCTGCTGCCCTGCATTGCCAGAGGGAGCCCAGGCCCATCTGCAGCAACCCTGGAGCTGCAGAGGAAAACTCCCCCCTTGTGCAGGATCCCTGCTGCAGCAGAGCCACAGCTGGCACTGCAGGAGGGCTGAGCCCCCGTGGGATGGGGCTGGGACACCGCCCTGACACACAGGGGGCAGGGACTGCTCTGACTCTGGCAGTGTTGTTTTATATTATTGCATTTTTAATTTTATTTTTATTTTCTTCCCTAATAAAGAACAGTTATTCCTACTCCCATATCTTTGCCTGAAAGCCCCTAATTTCAAAATTATAATAATCTGGATGGAGGGGGTTTACATTTTGAACTTCGGGGGAGGCTCCTGCCTTCCTTAGCAGACACCTGTCTTTTCAAACTAAGACAGATTGGCTTTACAAGTCCTACTAAATAGCAATAAATAAAATTAGTAATAAACTTATTACCAATTTCTAATAATATCAAAATATGAAACTTTTCAAACAATGACAACGAAGAAGTTTTAAATTATTTACATTTTTCCTCCTGAAACTCATGTACTGATTTTTAAAAATTCTGGCTTGGGAAATTTTCAGAAAGATTTTTAACCCTTTCTCCCAGTTCTTTGAGAAGGCTCCAAACTGTGAAGGAGGATGAGGAGCACTGGGTTTCCAGCTAGGTTCCCACAGGGAAGGGAGCTAAGGGGCTGCAGCTGCAGCCAGGGATGGCATTCTAGGGGGAAACAATGACATTTATTCACTTATCCAGCTCTTCTAGTGGTTCATGAAGATTCAAGGCAGGTTGGACAGTCATGAAGATGTTCAAGGAGGTGTCCAAGGTCAGGTTAGGCAGGGCTTGAAGCAACCTAGGATAGTGGAAGGCGGGGGTGGAAGAGGATGAGCTTTAAGGTCCCTTCCCACCCAAACCATCCCATGATCCCATAACTGAAGCATCCCAATTTCTCCCATCTTCAAGGGCCGCTCAGGAAAAAGGAGCAAATGATGCCCACGGAAACTTTGCAGCCGTGGGCTGTGAGAAGGGACCAGCACAGGCTCTGCTGCCTCTCCAGAGACTGGCATGGGAGGAATGATCTGGGAATGACTGATTCGGGAAAGGAAGGTTTGTGAAAAATATTTCTGGTTTGGAATGATTTGGGAAGGGATGATCTTGGAAGGGAATGTTTGAATAAGGAGGATTTGGGAAGGAATGATTTAGGAAAGAAATTATTTGAGTGGGGATGATGGTTGGGATGATTTGGGAAAGGAAGGTTTGGGAAGGGATGATTTAGGTGGGGATGGTTTGGGAAGCTTTGGCAGGGGATGATTTAGGTGGGGAGGATCTTGAAAGGAAAGTTTTGGGAAGGGAAGGTTTGGACAAGGAGGATTTGAAAAAGGGATGACTTGGGTGGAAATTACTTCAGAAAGGAATAATTTGGGAAGGGAAGTTTTGGGTGGGGAGGATTCAGGAAAGGAAGGTTAGATAATGGAATGTTTGGAAAGGGATTATTTGGGTGGAGATCATATCAGTGGGGGAGGTTTGGGAAGGGATTTTTTGGTCAGGGAGGGTTTGAGAAAGGGATGACTTGGGTGGGAATGATTTTGGAAGGGATGACTTAGGAAGGGATGTTTTCAGGGGGGAGGATTTGGGAATGGAAGGTTTGGGAATGGAATGTTTGGAAAGGGATGATTTGTGTGGGGATGATATGGGTGGGGAGGTTTGGGAAGGGAATGTTTGTGTCAGGAGGGTTTGGAAAAGGGAAGATTTGGGAATGGATGGTTTTGGTAGAGAGGGTGTGGGAAGGCATGGTTTGGGTGCAGATGATTTGGGAAGGAATGGTTTGGGTAGGGAGCTTTTGGGAAAGGAAGGTTTGGGAAGGGCTGATTTGGGCAGTTGTGGTTGGGGTGGGGATGCTTTGGGAATGGATGATTTGGGCAGGTGTGGTTTGAGGGAATGTGGTTTGTAAAAGGAAGATCTGGGTGGGGAGGATTTGCGAAAGGTTTGTGAGAAGTTTTGGGTGGGGTGGGTTGGTGAATGGAAGTTTGGGGAATGGAATGTTTTGGTACGGAGGGTTTGGGAAAGGAATAATTTCGGTAGGAATTATTTGGAAAGTAATGATTTGGGAAGGGAAGTTTTGCATGGGGGAGGATTTGGGAAAGGAATATTTGGGAATGGAATGTTTTGGTAGGGAGGGTATAGGCAGGGAGGATTTGGGAATGGAAGGTTTGGGAAGGGATGATCTGAGTGGGGATCATGGGGATCATAGGGGTGGGGAGGTTTGGGAAGGCCCCTGTGCAAGCCAATGATTTCCTTCCCCACAGCCCTGGGCTGCACACGTGTGGCAGGATGTGATCCCAGGGCCTGATCCCCACATGCACAGGGCACCTGCTGCTGCACACAGCACGGCTGGGATGTGAGTGTGGGTGGCACAGTAGGGTAAGAGCCACTCATGGTCACACTGTCCCTAATCCATCCTGCTGCCTCCCTGCTTGGTAGAGAAGGCTGGGAGAGCTGTCTCTGCCTGCCAGGGTGGCTGAGGAGCAGCCACTGTGCTG